CTTCGTCATATGAGTATTGATGCAATGAGCAGTGAAATGTCGTCTAGTCCAGTTGAATATCTGCCAGCTGAATGAATAGTCAGTTGATGGGCATTGTTGACTAGTTGCATGATCATTGTTTGTGTTCTTATGCACGGCTTCAGCGTCATACGAGCATCGATGTGACGCCAATGAAATATCATCTAGTGCAATGGATGATCTGTGAGATAAATGGATAGCCAGTTTTTTGTCATTGTTCACTGGCTGTATGATCATTGATTCAGTTGTTGTGCACCTCATCATCGTCATATGAGCATTGAGGCGACGACAGTGAAATGTCATCTAGCGCAGTGGAACATCTACCAGCTGAATGAATAGTCAGGTGATTGGCGTTCTTCTCTAGCTGCATGATCATTGATTCTGTTGTTGTGCACGTCATAAACGTCATATGAGCATTGATGCGAAGACAGTGAAATGTGAAATGTCACCTAGGGCGGTGGAACATCTTCAAGATAGATGAATAGTGCGTTGATGGGCATTCTTCACTAGCTACATGATCATTGATTCAGTTGTTGTGCACCTCATCATCGTCAGCTGAGCATGGATGCGACAAGAGTGAAATGTCATCTAGTGCGATGGAACATGTACGATAGAAATAAATAGTCGGTTGATGGGCATTGTCCACCAGGTGCGCAATCATTGATTCAGTAGTTGTGCGCCCAGTCGTTCTCAGATGAGCATTGATGGGGCGACAGTGAAATGTCATCGAATGTAATTGAACATGTGCGAGATAAATGAATAGTCAGTTGTTTGGCATTCTTCACTAGCTGCTTTATTTTTGATTCGGTTGTTGTGCACTTCATCGTGGTCTTTGAAATGTCGTCTAGTGCAATGGAAGATCTATGAGATAAATGAATAGTCAGCTTTTCGGCTTTGTTTTCTGGCTGCATGATCATTGATTCAGTTGTTTTGCACCGCATCATCGTCAGATAATCACTGATGCGACGACGGTGAAATGTCATGTAGTGCTGTGGAACATCTACGAGATAGATTAATAGTCAGTTGGTGGGCATTCTTCACTAGTTGTATGGTCATTTATTGCTAGTGGTTGTCATTTGTTTAGTTATGATAGGATTCGGGTGGCGAAAGCATTGTCAGATGTGGCGATGCTGAAGATATATAGAATAGATGTATGGCTATGTCGGACTCCAGATCCTCTAGGATCCAGCTATCGGAATGCAAGGGAACTGAGTGGATTTCGATCCTCGGATCCGGTCGGACGTCCGATGTCTGGAATTCAGTGGAATTAGAAGGATCCGATTGGGCGAATTCGGCCTGACTGGGACCACAAATATAGGAAGAGTATGGGAGGATACACACTCCTCCGAATAATGAAAAATTACTAATTCAGGCACTGGCTATAGGTGAACTACTACAAAACACTGTGTGATCTTGATTATAATAACCACATGCTTTGATTACATTGAGGGTTGTTGAATTCATTTCTTTTAGCCACAATAATTAATGTCCATCAGGATAAAACCATTAAAACATCAGCAATCTGCTCTTGCTTACTGTTCATATATATACATATTTAAACAGTTTATTCAGGTGAAACATAACTGGCATTGAATATGACGTGACGTCACAGTGCTGTATAATCACCGCATCAGGCTTCGTTTCTTAAGATTGTGTAACGGCTTAGTATACATATGTGCGTTTTTTGTGTAATAGTGGGTGCTATCTTTCTATAAAGTTTTCTTAAATAAACGTTAGATGAGAAAGATCTTAGTTCACCCGAGAACCTAACAATTAGCCTGTTCATAATTAAAACTTCAATTTTGCCTGCCTGACAAATCTCTAGTCAAAACTAGAATTTTAGTTTCGCCTAGGCAGATTTTAAATTTGACTGAATTTTAAGTTTGGCTACAACATATACACACAGTCGATGGTTGACTGTGTGTGTGTGAACAACAAAGAGAACTGCCAAGTACGCCTTTCGGCCTTGCTCAAGGACCTTGTCAGCTGGGCTGAGAAAACATAGTCTGTTAATAAACACGATGATGGTACTACATGGTTTTGTATGCCACATACCAATCATAGAAGAAAACAAAGCAATAGTACAATAAGACAAGAAATGCTTTCTTGCTCATGCTTCTTCTACGAACGAAAAGAAGAAATAGGAAACTGAAGAATTTTCTGCTGAATATTTCTATATATTTGGTTTAAAAATGTGATGGGAGTTCTAGTTAAGTTTGTGGAAAAACTAAAAGTTAGGCATAGTTACTTACTATGAACATGTTCTATCACTTTATCGAAAAAAAAATTGAAAAATTATATTGAATCAGTTTTCGTGAACCGTCACCCGTCATTTAACGTATATATTTAAGAGAATATGATTAAAAATTTTCATGTAAGTAGAACATATCTTACTGTTGTTAAAAATTTAAAACAAGCAAAGATAAGAGAAAAAGCCGACAAACTTGGTCACGTTATATCATATTTGACTAATATATTAAAGAGAATACACACTACACCTTAAGATCATCAAATTAAAACAATTATAATGAAATATTTATTTTCTAATCAAAAGTTTATTATATATTTTGTTTTTAGTTTATTTTTATTTATAAATAATGTTTATTGTTTCACATTTAATGATTTACTTTGTTATTTAGTTGATTGTAGTAAAAACAATGTACCACCAGATAAACTTTATTATGAATTAGTTGAAACAAATAAAATAGATACTGTTCACATGTTTTTATAGGATCTGAAAAAAAATGAAGCTCAATATCGAGAAGATTATCAATGGTATACAAATACATTATGTGAAAATAAAGATGGTTCGATAAAATGCCAAGCAGGTAATATAGTAGACAAACATAATTTAGAACAATTTAATATTAAAGAAGATAAATTAGAAAAATTATTGAGTAGACAAAACTATCCAACTGAAATAAGAAAAATAATAAATGATTCTGATATTATTGAAGATAAAATACAATATGCTATAGATACAAAAATAAGTTTTGAAAAAAATGGTGAAATAAAATGTAATACTTATTATGTAAATTGGTATAGAATGAAGGACGATATTATCCATTTCGATGTATTTTATATTGATTTTAGTAGAAAAGCAGGTGATAATTATCGCTTTGATTCTGAATATTTATCAGGACAAATCGATAGAATAAAAAATGCTAAAAAATATTCAGTATTAAAGTCAATTGAAGAAAATCCAGTAATCGAGAATTTTTATCTTAAATCTATGAAACCAAAGGATGATGTACCAAAATTAACAGATAAAAAAAATGAATTATAACAAAGTATTATTACAAAATAACTGTATAATAATAAAAGAAAAAAAATGTGTACTTCCATTTAAAATATTAGAAAATAATGCAAATTTTTTTTGTTACAAAATTATATATGTTAAGAGGAACACAGATTTATACTTTTTTCGTATATTTTTAAAAAATATTACTTTTTATTTTTTTATTTTTTTTTAAAGAAGAAGAGAATGATTTTGTCCAATCGTCGTAATAGTTTTCCTATCTTTTTACATTTAAGGTTCTGTTAAGAAGCTGAAAATCATGCGAAAAGCTTGAAGTACAGCATGGATGCTATTGTTTAGGATAGTAATGAACAATTGTAAGAGATTTCTCTCTGAAATGTTTTAGAAGAAATTTTAGAAACTTAATCATGTTCTGAAGTGAAGTAGGAAGCATTTCTGATAATTCTAGGCGATTTGCGCTCAAAATCATATTGGGCCATTTTCTTACAGAGCCCGGTTCCCGTCCTTTTTGATCAGATATCCACGAGGAGAGTTTTCTTCTTGTAAAGAATTCCCGTATGTGCTTTACATGCGAGTTATTGTAAATTCATCGCAGTTCGAAGAAATGTTAGAGTTCTTGTATTTATGTGAAATTGTAAGCTTATGAATCCTCTGCAAATGACGTATTTTATACTGGTGCAAATATATTCGTATTGCCAGTTGAACAAATATTTAATCTGTGGTGAAAAAGCTATTCCCAACGTTAAACCGAATTAACTCGCCTAAACTTTTCTTTCGTAAGATCGTATTGGATTATTTTATCTTTCGGATATTAAAGTCGCTGATTTTGATATGATAAACAAAAGAGAATCACAAAGTCAAATCCCACGATTTAATTGTTTTCTTGCAAAGCTATTTGTATACAACGTATTGCAAAAAGAAAAATAGGCTTCGATATCTATACAAATAAAAAATGAAACAAATACAAAGAACAAAATAATATTGTATATAAAGTTATTCATCTATTTTAATGAATACTTTCGGTTTTGAAAATATTTTTATAGCTTCATCTAATTCAATGATTTTTTTTTCTAAATCTTCTTTTGTTTTACGTAATGTTACCGAATCATTGCGGATAGGTAAATGGCCAAGTCGCTGCACAAGATCTTTTTGATCTAAAATATAAAAACACATTTCGAAATCAGACAGCATATATAAAAACTGTACTAGTGCGTTCTTTTATTCCTAAAAGTATAACTAAATCCTTCGCGAACGGCTTATTTCAATCAGTAGAGCAGAAAAAACTGAACGAGATGACATACGCCTTATTCTTAGCAAAGTAGTTCTGAGGACGAAATATTCTATTTCAAAGTACATTTTCGTGAAATTTCATATTTTAAAAGCAAAATTGGTGAAAAAAACATCCAAATTAACCATGCAGTTTTTCATACTGGACTCAATGAAACCAAAGCTGCAGCTTAGCCTGTCTTCATTAAACAGAAATTCAGATTTTAAAATGTTTTGACTTTTGCTAGAATTGAAGACATCTCAAGAACGTTTAGGTTCTCCCGCCAAAATCTCCAAGTTCTGATAAAGCGTAGAATTTGACGTATCTGAAATGATTTTCTGGAGACGTTTTGAAACCGTCTTAAAGTGTGCATCGACGCGGAAATTTGGCAAAAATCAAAGGTAAGCTTTTTCAAAATTCGAATAGTGCTCAATCTACCTCGATATAGGGGCTATCTTTTGGTAAGAAACCTTTGGTTTCAGGTAACGCACTTTCGGAAAAAACGTTAAAGCAAAATAGACTTGAAATAAGCTCTTACACGAGAATAACAATTTTTATGCACGATAAAACGAAAGTGAAGTTCTAAAACGTACATATTCGAATTCAGCGCAGGTTCAGCTACAAGATCAAAAAAAAATTTCATTTGAATGTAAATTGTAACGTCGGAAGAAAGCGTTTTCCCAAACTGGACAGTATTTCGGAAACATGACTTCAATAAAATAAAGTTCCGAAAGTTTCCGATGTATACAATATGTATGTATATAATTCGATTCAGAATTATATACATATGTTCATCTCCATGTCCTGTATCTATGGTGCATGCAATTTTGCTTCCACACTTAGAAATAGATTTTCCAAAAACCCTTTGGTTTTTGAGGTATTTTGCGATTTTCTCAGTACAGCAACACTTGTATTGAAAACGAAGAAGATATTTGGAATTAGCACAAAAACGGCATCGAATGATGCACAATTAGTAGGTTTTTCTGAGCAAAGACTTGTTTATCTAACGAAACGCTAGAGTCAAACCATAGAGTCACAATTTTGGCTAAGGATTTTGATATTTGCTCTAGAAGCAGTCTGAAAGTCTATAAACACTTTTGTATAGGTTTTCAGATATGCCCTTTCCAATGGTGCACTTTATAAAGTTCCAAAATACCTATGTGCGGGTTTTCTAGAGACGCGGCCTCTGGAGAACCCAGCTGAAAGTCTCTTTGAACGTTGTAAAACACAACATTGGAAAGAGCATATCTGTAAGCCTATAAAAAAGTGTTTATAGACTTTCAAGCTACTTCTATAGCAAATGTCCGCCTGGCCTATGGAAAAATGCACACTGTGCAACTTTATTGAAGAAGGAAAACATTTTCACAACATTACGCGCCCTTACTTAGTTGTAGTGTTTGTAATGTTCTTCTACGTTCATCTTCTTGTACTTTAACATGGCCTTTTGGACACTCTGGATCAGGTGCATTTCGAGATTGATCAGTACGTTCCTGATCACGTTCTTCCCGAATGCGGTCAATACTATAAAATAACAGTAACTCGATTAAAAAGAAAAACACAGTATATTGATTCGTTACTTACTAGTCTGGTACTTTTCCTTTTTGATTTTGTTTATAATCTTGAAATTCTTTCTGTTTTTTTTCTTGCGTTTGTTGAACAACTTCTTCACTAGTACTTTTTCGTACTTTCGGCACATTTTTAGCCCATAATGTATTCAATTTAACGTAATCTAATTTACCATCATCTTTTCGACAATTAGAATTCGTATTTGACTAAAGAAAAAGGCACCCATAGTTACAAAATAATAAGAACAAAAAAATCAACTTTCTAACAGGATATTACCGCATCAACTTCGGATGCAATAGAATTTCGTCTGGAATTGGAAACAGATTGTGGACGTCTAAAATGTGGGCCAGTATTTTCGTGTGGTTTAAGATAATTTGCTGATTGAGGACGGGACACAGATTTTTCTTGATTCTATGATGCAGTAATTAGAACAAATAAATTTTTTGTCTTTTATTCAAATAGTTTGATACAAACCTCTAAATTCTCTTTTACTTTTGATTGAACATGTTTCCATTGTTGCGATTGCCACAACGCTTTGACGGGTACTGGTTTCTGTTGCTCCTTTTCATTTTCACGCATCTTTGATTGTCTCATCGCGTGACGAATACGTTTCATATTTTCAGCCATATGATTTTTTATCGGTTCTTGAAATGCCAGAAGGGTGACAATAAGTATCAAATTGATTTTATTGTGTTTTTAACTTACTAGTTTTCGTTCCACTACCAAAACGAGATAGTCCATTGTCTTGAACTTTAAATAAGAAAGGCACACCACTACCTTGAACGGATCGATTGTATATCGCTTTGGCATCGACACCACTTACTCTAATGCCACGAGCCGAAGTTGGAGTACTAAAAAAGTTTAAGTATTATATAAAAAATACCACTACTTTATATATAAATACACACCTTCTAATCTGAAAATCGTTCTCAAAACCCGGCGTTGGTGGTATTGGACCCGTTAGAAGGCTTCTACCTTCCATATTCTTTGTTTCATCTCGGCGTCGTTCAAAATTGTCCATTGAAGTATTGAAACTTACTGACCATGGTTGCTGAGTGAGTGCCATACTACAACTAAAAGTTAGAATAACAAACTGACACTTTTTATTCAACAATATAGTGAGTGATAGTAGATTTTAAATCTATATTTTATTGGTTTGATAAAGCAGATGGTACGTTATATATCAGTTGATTTACACATCAAATTCCAACAACACCAGGGGTATGTCAATTACACAGAGAGACAACTTCACATTTTTGTAGAAGGGAAACTATATTCAAAGTTATCAAGACTATCGTCAATCCCGCAGATGGAGGACTGTGCCTAAGGAAGACTAAGGGAAGCTTCATATTTCAATCTGTGGGACATAATCAAAATTAGAACTTAGTAATAATGAGTATTGTGAAGAATTTAGTTTTCTTAAACCACAAGAGTTATATAGATACGTGAGCAGCCATATTTGTGAGATATTGTTCGCCATAACCGGAGCTGAACTCATGACACTGACTTTCTATTATATCTCAATTCGATTATTATCATTACTTACAGAAATGTCTAACCCCATTTTATATTATGAAAACAGATTAATTTTTCGAATGAAAAAGGATCGTTTACAACACGAAGGATTTAAAATATCTATGCACGTTTTTTTATTCGCATTTAGCGTACCAATCAACCAACATTCATTTCTATTTCATGAAAACAACATGAACATTTATTTTTTCTTCTTTCACCGACATCTGTCGTTCTGTGCTAATGCGTATTGTTAACTTTTAACTGCATTATTATTTCATTTTATAGATTTATTTTCTAGTTTTAATAAAGATCTTTTAAATTAAAGCCTATTCAAATTATTTGTTTTGGTCCTGATAACTCAAAATAAATTCTATTCCGTTCAGGTCAGGTTTTATTTCGGTAAAAAAAGAAATGCACGAGCTCAAATCGTTCTTACAAGTCATCTCCCAATAGCAGGGAACTTTAATATTCATTAAAAACTAGCTACCAAGAGAAAACATGTCTTAAAAACTCAAAATTGCTGTCGACCACTTTTGAAAACGATAAAAATTACTAGTCAAGATACGCTAGGAGTGAAAGCTATGCGCTAGTGTCAACGTGAGTTTGCGTTGATTGTGGCAACGCAGGCCTAACTTTCACACCCAGCGTATCTTGACTGAAGCACCATCTATCGCCGTTAGGGTAATACGCTATTTGTTTTAGTCAATGAAAGTGCAAGTTTTTGACGAATACGAATAATCCTTTTGATCGGATTATTGAGGAAAAATTGCCATTGCATCGCACATGCGTCTCGCTGGCTTTTTCACTCTAGTGTTTGAGTAATATGAAGAAAAGAAAATATGTCTTTTTCTCGAATTGTTGGGTCTGTCTGATGAAATTAAATGTTTAATATTTGCTAAGAGCAACTATCATCCGTCATTGCATCGTCTTCAAGTCGGTAGATTGATGTCGCTAGGACAAGGCATAGAGCTGCACTACAAGCACCGATAACCTATTTACTCTTTTGTTTCCTTCTAAAGTTTATATGTTTTCATTTACTTATTTGTTTACCGAGGGCAACAACAGACGAGTGACCTTTGATGATCTGTTACTTTTCGGGATGATCGCTATCCAAATCTTATTATCCATTGTCGAAGTCCACTTCGCCAGTGACGACAAATGATATTTCTTTTGTCGAAGTCGACTCTAACAATGGATAGTTAAATGTGAATAATGTGGATCTAAAACATATCAAATCATTCAAGTCTTATCATCACTTATTCTTTGGAATTTTTTATTTAAAACTTGGTACTATTTGCTCTTAGTGTTCATCAAACCCATCAGAAACACTCTGTTGTGTGATTCTTTGATTAAAAAAAAGAAAATTTTTAAGCGACTTCTTATTGGCTAATCCGTCATTTTGTCTAAAAAGTTAATCCACTGAAGAATTCCTCGCTAGCTTACCATACCAATTTTTTTGCAGTTTTTTGTCAAATTTTGAACGCCGCCATTTATAGCAGTTGTTATCGGCTGGTAACTTCTAAAAACGATTTCAAATTCGATTCGATCAAGGGATGCTATTGCTGGAAAAAGCAAGGTAACATAACACTCTCTTGACTTGAGTGACTTTATGTGTAATGTATGAGGAAGTCTGCACTACTTTTGTTCACCTTAAGACAAAAAAAATTAAAGAAAATTTCAATTTGGTTGTTCTAAAGATGGATTACCCCCCTACTTGGTGTGTGTGGAGTGTGAGTGTGTGATCAATCTGTAGAAGTAGCCTGTGCTGGTGGAAAGTATACTTTGTGGGTACCTGCTTTGCATCGATGCCAGCCAGTGCACATGGCATACTATGAGCACTGATTTTACTAGTGCCGCACTTGATGTTTTTCAGGATGTCAAACACTGACATTTGTTTTATTTCTTTTGTTATATTACGTTATCGTTTGTTAGTACATTTCTTTTGACTTAAAACAGATAAATTAGAGAATTTTTTATGACAATAATCATATTAGATTCACAATGTCGAAGTAGCTATAGGTTGCAGCGTTTGTTAGCCGTAGCTGCTTCTGACTATTGACAAAATGTTTTAAATAAATGATTGACATCTAGTTAGTTCGAACAAAAGATTTCAAATTGCCTCGCTGTTATCACTATCTACGACTGCTTTATTAATAATTCTTCATGGTCTCTTTAGATATATTATTTTTTATTTAATTACAATGCATTTTATTTCTGCTTCTGACTGGTGAGTCTGGAAATAAAGGGTGGCCCAGAAGTCCTGACTCGATTTGAATGGTTAGTTTTTCTTTAGCAAAATACATGATTAAAAATGTGTCTCTAGTGTGAAAAGATGCAGCAGAACACGCTCTACAAAATGGCGCTTGATTCATATAGTGAGAAAGTTACAAGCTTAGAAACATGCTCCACGGAAAATAAAAATTAACCGTGAACCCGATTTTTATGAGCTGCATCAAAACAGAAGGTTTGCCAATCAGGTTTGTTTTGTTTTGATCAGAAATGATTGCACTTCTCTAACTAGCTGCAACATCAAAACATCGATCACCTTTTCTTTTTTTACTGAGTACATCGCCGAAAACCAGAGTGTCAATTCTCGACGTATTCTTGAAACTCCAATCTCAAGCACACCATCTACTATAAAGCAGATATTTTAGAGACCACAAGACAGAGTTAATTTAAAAGTACCGAATACCAATGAGTACTCATTTTCATACCCTGTCGAACAGAAATATTAAAAAAAGAAAAATTTCAAGTAAAAGACAACTAAAT